GGCCCAGAGATAATCGTTTGACCTCAGGCTGGGAATTCACGGTTCAAGTCCTCTTAATCACTAATTGGCTTTCGTAACCCATAGGTCATGATTTCGTGACTCAGTAGTTACGTTCCTATTTTTATATTCCTAATATGCCTAGTAAATAAGGGCATACTATTCCTTCCAAAGTTTCTTCTGTTTCCAATAATTGTTTTGTGAAATTACTCCACTTAAACACATCAATGTTTCACTCCATATGTTTGGTGTACTCCTATTGACTACTCCAAGTAGACGTCGATGACCTATCAGAGGTCAAGCCGGGTCAAAGTTCACGACTGCTAATCAGCAGCCAGACGCAACCCAAGGGTTCTGTCTGCTAAGCGTTTCTGCAAGATAAACTGCAGTTAAAGACGTGAGTTATGGACGAAAACATAAACCTCTATGCAGGCAATATAGGGTTTTCGCAATCAGTTTCACGTTGAAACTGATACTAAACATGTGACGCAGACATTCAATAATGGTCATGAGTATCACAGTATCATTAAACATTTTCTTTTGTTGTAGATTCCTTATGAAGCTGAAGATACATTGATTACCTCACATTAACTATCTTAATGTATTCAACTTATTTTTTCGTTAGTTTAATAGCTTTTTTAATCTTTCGCCAAATTAAGCGTGTATTTTATTTTAGCTGCAAATTATATTACAAATAATCTACAAGTATAATTTAACAAACATAACTAGTAGCCTATTTATCAATATAAGTGAGAGGAGGACGTTCTGCGGCTGTTGTAGGCCTATATTTCTGTTGTAGGCCTATATTTCTGTTGTAGGCTTCATGAACCTATATTCCAAATTAAACAGTCTTTGGCCCTAAGTTCTTATCCTAAACACAAAATATAAAAAAGTGAAAAAAATGAACATCAAATTAAGGAAATTATTTTTCAGTGATCTTTGTTGGAGAAGTAAGTTATGGATCATTACGGAATTTTTTAGAATTACCAATTAGAGTTTGCCATTACTTGGGCCTGCGTTTAAAGCGAATCAGGTATCGGGTATAGGATCAGTTTCCAAGTCTGAAACGTTGTAAAAATCGTGGTTAATTTATTAGTGATAGAAAATGTTCACAATAGTCTTAAAAAATAATGTTCCTTACTAATTAAACTATAAAATAAAAAATCACCAGAAGAAAAAAAAAACATACAAAATGCTTCCTCGATTTAAAATGTCTATATTGTAGGCACAATTAGGAATATTTCAGGAAAAGCAAGCTACGATGAACAACAAAAGACTCGGAGGCTTGAACTCTGAACAAACTTGCCCTTTCCTACAACGAAAGTGCAACAAATAGAAAGAAACATCAGTCAATGTCAGATCCTCGGGTGAAAGTCTAGTATTGTTCGGTCACGAGTTTCCTTAAACAGTCTTCCGACTGGACCCAATGACGTTAACTCTTTTAGTGAGCAACGTTCTTTTACCTGTACAACAGATTTTTCCTAATTTGTAATATGCTTTGTCATACTACTTTTACTATGAATGAAAAGGGATTCTTAGTTTGGTGGAAACAGTTTGTATTTTTAAGTTACTGGACAATTGTTTCTGGAAATTGAAATAAAGCGTTTTAGTGACGATATTTGAACAATGGCGATTCAACAAGAACAATACCCGATACAATAGTGACGATTGAATGTATTTTGTTTAAATGTTTTGGTAAAACAAACAGTTATAAAACATTACTATATTTTTAATCCACTAGGATATCAAAATCTAGTACAAAGAAGCATGTTAATAGCTTTTCCATGCAAATGTTTATTTCATAAATAAATAGGCACTTTACCATGACTAAACTAGTAAGTAGTAGTAACTAGTAGTAGTGGTTGTCTGTATTTTACCTAATGTCATCAGTAGGTGCAAAGTACGATCTGTAAGTAAGTTAGCTTAGAAAAATTGTAGTATATGAAAAATCCTATCTTTATCGTGATCAAATCCATTTCACAGAGCGTAAGCATTTACAAGAATTCAGACAATTTTGAAAAAACTAATTAAAACTTTCAGAACAACAAAGAATAAAAAATGATACATCGCTAATACATAAGCAGCATGTATATTAGGAATCTATGTAATTTTTTATACTGGCATTTATAATAGTAAAATGAACTGTTAGTGTAGAATAAGTTAATTCACAATGTTAAATGTTTTGAATCAAAACAAGGAATGGGAATAAATGAATTTAAAACTTAAATTAATTTCACACTACTTCTTTATCACATTTACAAAAATTGTTCTGGTAACTTAGATCCTTTCCATTGCTAAAATATTTCTTTACGAGTAAATTACTGTAATTTAACGGAGAACAGATTCCCAAAGTGATGTCGTTTATATTTATAATGAAATTAATGAAGGGTCATAAAATAGACCTGAGCTCGATGCAAAGTTGTTTCGATGAAAAGGAGCGTTCGACATTATAATTACAAGCTTTTATAAACAGTGGAAACAAAAGTTTACGTTGAAATAGGATGGTTTTCTCGAATAAATTAATTTAATTTTGTCTTGAAATAACATTGACAATTTCTTAGTTATTTTAAAGCTGCAAAAACTACAATTGTTTTCAGGGCCGTTGGCTGGTTGCCAGTTCTATTTATTTTCATTGTTCATGTAGTTCTAAATACATATTTCTAATAAAATATCCGTAGCATTAGTTATGTGTTATTTTCATTGCTGCTGTGTTTTAGCTGTTTGATTAATTATCAAGAACAGTTTATTTTAATTTACTCGAACTATTTACAATAAGGTAACTACGATAATTATTCAATTTTGAGTTAACATTTGCCTATGTGATAAATGCAGCGACTCTTTAAGGATACCTTTATGTAAAATAACAAAAAGTTTTGGGCTTGAACCTAGTGTCTATAGATGTGTAGGGAGGATTTGAAATATTTTTTTACGTTACCTTCTTTTACTTCTTTTTGATAACTAAACTTAAAGTTTCCGGCCATTACTACTTAAAGTCTGATGAAAAAACTTTACAACGTACGTAATACATATGAAATTTTCATGAAATATGTTTATTTTTTAATTGTAAGAAGCAAGTATTAATGTTACTGAATTTCACTATATAAAAGTAGAATTTTATAGAATTTGAATCGCGGTTGCTTTATAAGGCCGTCAAGGTTTTATCATATTCAAGTTTGAATATTCCTTTTGATGAACACCTTTTCTGATTTTGGCAACTGTTATCAGTAGTTTTCATCATAGAAACATTATTAACAGCCAATTGATATTTGTTCAAAATCGGGTTTTATATCGATGTAACCATTGACTATTGGATACCGAAGTTGTATTAATAGTCAAAGATGTAACTTAACGGTTTACTTCCGGGAAGACATCACGAACGGAATCATAATCCGCTGAAATGAACTTATCATTGAAACCTAGTATTTAACAACAATTCTTAATGCAATTTAGTCAGTTTGATTTTTTCCCTACTTTGAGTTTACAGCTATTTACTTGTGGCTGAGTATTTTATTGCGATATCGCTCTAAAAAAAATATAAATGTATCTAACCAGTTATCTTAACCACGAGCGGTTTCAAACTTCCAGTTGGCATGAATATCAAGTGTTTGTCAATGGTAACCTCCGCCACCCACGACGGGTAGACCGACATTGGTTCATACCTGGAGACGGAGAACCACTCAAGCGCATAACATCTTGCGACAGTACGTCTGTCTGTCTGTCATTTCAGCTCGCTTAGCGCCACTGACCCGCGAGCCCAGTTGGACGGAGGCCAAGGTTCGCAAACCTTGTAATCAATACGCCAGCTGATCAAAGAGGAGACTCTGCAATCAATACATCAGCTGATCATCGGGTAATCGATTGTATTGTAGATAATGTCTGTTGCAGACAGTGACGAATTGTTGAGACAATAGTGGCCTCGGCACTGTGTTAGGGTTAGGACTTCTCTGTTTCTGAGAATGCTAGATGGCGACGTACAGCAAATTGGGTACTATTAATGTTTTATGTTATAGATGTGAGACCGATAGATTATTTTATTATAGTTGTTTTCATTGATTAGAAATTCGTATAAAAAAAAATGTATTGCAAAGTAAAACGAAGCCGGCCGTTAGATGAAATTATTTTGCATAAAATATACGTAGAAATGATCAGTGATTTAAAATTAATCAGTCCCAGTATTTCACAAATGTATCATCTACGTTAAAGACTGTATTGACATTTGGTATTTGTTATCACTACTGAAAAAGTTCTGTGTTAATCGTCTGTGTTATCAATTGTTAATTTAATTAATTTTAAATTCCCATCGGTACTTATCTTATCTTTTTCCAGTTAGCTTAATAATAGCACCTGCTCCACACATGTGCGTTGTCATACATTTCATTCACGCGTTGCAAATAATCCACCCTTAGGCGTCTCCGCAATTCTATCCAAAGCTAAGAATTCTGGTTGTACAACAAAGCTGGTTTTATATTAGTTTTACATCTAAATATTTCAATATTTTTAAAGTATATACAAATAGTATTTAGTGTAATATTAAAGGGATGTATTTAACTGTCATTCAACAGTAATAGAAAGAAACTAATGTAGCGCATGCCTACTGTTTGATTTCAAGTTTAATGTTCATTTGCATGTACAAACTTAAAACTAGATGTATAATTTCTTTACCCTTTAGATATGGAAACATATGATAAAAGCATTTTTACTAAATTCATTCATTGTTTCGCCTCAGTTATCTCTAAATGACTTAAACGTTTGTGGAAAATTTAAAGGGGCCAAACCACGTATATTTTGCTTAGGGTCGAATGGTCTCAGAAACACAAGTCATTGTCACATACGAAACAAAAATTTAGTTACTTATGGAATACTATTTATTCAAATAGTGCGTAACCTTATTGAAAAATACTGAGGAATGTACGAATAAAAGACAAAGATTCTATTAAATATCATCACGTGATTATCATCATTATTTTATTATTTGTCCTCAAGTTGGTATGATATTGTTCCAGATATCTTTACATTTGAGATCGATACTGTTGTGCATCTTCGTCTCACAATGTACATCGAAGACTCCAATACAGCGTGGTTTCGACACCTCAAACCTTCACAAACGAGCCTACTCGCACTCAGACCACGTGCAGTGTGATCATGGCAAGCCCGACACTTTCGGAGGACAAGAGAGCAGATTTGAACCATCCAGACAGTATCTTCCAGCACAAGAGAGTAAAGTAGAACCTTCTCGGCAATACCTGCCCCAGCCTGGACCTGTTCCACCGAGTAGTCCTCCTGACATAGAAGCACCGGCCGCTTCGTTTGATCAGCCGAAATTTGTGTCAGTAGAGAACACATTTGTATCACCCTCGCTTCAAAACAACTATAAATCTCTCTTTGGACAAGATAAAAAGGACCTGATCGCTCCTGCTGCTGCTCAAAGTCCTTCTAATGCAGTTCCTGCTCCAAGAGTCTCGAGTGATAAGAAGCATTCTCATGATGACGAGAACAACCTTGAGCGACTATGTAATGACGCGTTTCACAGCTTCTTGTGTAAGCCAATAAAGGGACCCAGAAAAACTCCAACTGGAAGACTGAGGCCGAACGCTGTCATACCTCCTGACGTGTTGTCAGGGCTAGCTTCATTTCAGGATGTTGCAAGAGTCAAACCTGATCCTCCGAAGCCAACCACACAAAGACCGTTTTCTCAATTTCCAACCACAAGATATACTCCAACAACTACTACAACTAAAAAGTACGAGCCTTTCATTCCTGAAGTACCAAGTCCAAGCAATAACAACATTCAAGTTTTGAAACCAGCTGCGCAAACCCCAGGGTATTTCTACGAAAAGCCTTCAGTTCCGTTTCCTTCAAATCAATATCAACAGACTCAACGGCCAACTTATCCAACTCCACGACCTACAACACCTAGACCAGCTCCAACTCAGGGGTATTCTTACGACAAACCCAGCATTCCATTTCCCAGTAATACCATTCAGAAGTATGCTCAGCCTTCAAAACACGATTGTGATAAACTCCACTCTCATTTTTTGATTCCTAACCCATCCAACGAAAATCCATCATTCCTTAGACCACAATCCCCTCCTACACCTAAGCCAACGCCTAAAGTATACTATACAACCCGAACATATCCACCTACCCCAAAACATGATTGTGAAAAGCATAACCCTCCTTCTCCTTTTCTTATTCCAAACCCCTCTAACGATAACCCATCCTTTCTGAGGCCTGTAACCCCTACTACACCTAAGCCAGTTCCAAAAACATATTATACAAAACCAACATATCCACCTCCTCCTAAACATGACTGCGACAAAAATAAACCGTCTTCTCCATTTTTAATCCCCAATCCTTCAAACAACAACCCATCATTTCTCATACCCAATACTATCCCTTCTCCTAAACCAACAACTACAACATTTTATTCAAAACCAACCTTTTCATCTACAAACAATTACTCTCCGTTCCGAAGTGCAACCCAACCTACTGCTAAGCCACATGATTGTCAAAAACACGCCTTCTCATTTGCACCCTCAACTGATTCCCCAAAACTTCCATTACCTTCTAATAATATAGCTAAAGTATCTCCTTACACTCCAAAACCTGCTCCAACGTATTACCAAAAACCTATTTACCCATCTCCAAGTAATGATTTCTTCCGAACATCACCTCCACAGTCCACTCATGATTGTAAACAGCATCCTACACCCTTTTTCAGCACAACAGAAAAAGCAAAGCTGCCTTCAGCTTCCAACAACATAGCCCAGATAATAGCACAGCCTCAGCAGATCAACGCTGTAACAATCTCTCCCCAAAAACCTACGGGTTACTCCTACGAGAAGCCTGCAGTCCCATTTCCACCCCCAAGACCAATTACTCAGAGGCCAACTCCACCTCCGTTTACGTACCAAACCACCACATCAGGGGGCTACAATTACGAACAGCCTCGTATTCCATTCCCCAGCAACAACATCGCTCAAATTATTTCTCAACCAAGCACCACAACAACACCCAAACCTTGTGAACACGACAAACACAATTTTCCATCAGGCAGTGCTACAAGTCAAAATATCTTAAAACCAGCAGCCGCTTCAGATGCTTACGTCTACGACAAACCAAACCAACCCTTTAACGGGTACAACTACGACAAGCCTTCTAACCCCTTTCTGCTACCTAGTCCCGCAAACAATGCTCCGCAAGTGGTAGCGAGCCCCGCAAACAATGGGTACACCTACGACAAACCCAACAAACCTTTCCCGCAGACGAATCCTTCAAACAATAACCAAGTAGTAATAGGCCCTCCAAAGTCACCGAGCACCTACAAACCTTCAGGGTACTCTTATGAGGCACCTAGGGTACCCTTCCCTACAAACATAAACTCCAAAATCATCGCACCTGATGACAAACCAAATTACGACGCGAAGCCTCAAACTCAGGTAGAAGTTACAGTCAGGCCTGGATACTCTTACGATAGACCAAGCAACTCGTTCAGTGGCGAGTCGGGTTACGTCTATCCTGAACCATCCGCACCTTTTATCAGTTAAGTGCGTCAAACGATTCAGAACTTTGATTTAAAATCACACTGAATCGCTAAGACTGAACTGAAGTGTATAGATGCACGAGTTACCAGTGATTTCATAGACTGATGTTGGTTACCAATGTATATTGAAGTAAACAAGTTTTAAATAATACAATTTTGTATTAGTGCTATATTTTATGTAAGAATATTAATATGTAATTAAAGATATTTGTCTACTAAAAATTTAATAAGGATTTCTATCCTGGTTTGGTAATAGTTTTTAAATCTTTATAATCATCTTTGGCAAAATCCAGTGTTACTAACGTGTAATTATAGTTAAGATGGATGGATGGTTATTTAGAACATGTACCTCATATCGCTAATTCAGTTAGGTTATGGTTCATGATATGCAAACGCCAATTATCAATCTGCGCCCTATGTGTTATATACCAACGTTTATTACTGCTACATATCCCCCTCATTGAAAGATACAGTATTATAAAACAAAAATGTAAACGTAAGTTTTATCTACTTTGTAATTTTTACAACAAAAAGCCTTAGTAGGTAAAAAAACATTATTTTATTTAGCAATTAGAAACAACTATTAAACAAGAATAATTATAATTGCAAACATTGATTGTATTTATTCAAAAAGTTTTGATATCAAAATAATATGAAGAAGGGGATCTGTACCTAGTTAGCCATTACCTCTTGATTCAACTATTTGAACCATTATTAGTTCTAACCTAGCGATTACAAAGTGGCTCAACTCCTATGAACGAACAGATGAAACCAAAGATGAAAAAAGGTAAAAAGGTCAAATTTTAGAAAGTAGGGTATGAGTGTATCAAATGCTAAACGAAGCCTATAAAAGATTATTCAGTGATATGATATGTATGACCTGATCTATCATACAATAGATATTACATAGTTTAAATACATGGATGTAAATGTGTAGCAACTTATTGACTTTGGTATATACTGGAATATACTAGGTACCGTATAAAATGTGTCTGCAGTCTGTGATTATTCAAATACTAGCTTTTACCCGACGGCTTTACCCGACATAATTTTATTTCCTACTATGGACTGGCTGAAGGCTAATGGACTTTTGTATTAATTTGCCGTATAATATCAAACATCCAAAGTTATGTAAACATATAACTATGGAATTTGAGCTCAGGGAAAACTTCTTCATTTACAACATTAACCATCCTTTTATCAGGAGCTTCAAACTCTCTGGAACAACCTACATATCGTAAAAAAATACAATTCCTGCTGTGTCTCTTTTCACTTAGAATTATAACCCTACCTTTAAACTGTATTTGCTAATATTACAGTTAATTCTTGTTTAACATTTAGTGAAAACGTGTTGCATATCTTACAATAGCATAAAACACTATTAATGAAACTCCATGACCCTAAAACTTTTTTTTTCAAAATAACCGAAATTACGGCGATCCCAGAAGGACCCTGACTGGTCCCTGAAGAGAGCTAAAATCCCAAAATCCCCAAGAACGAATACAAACATGTCCGTAAACCACCCGATCTCAAAATTATGTCACGATAATAAAATTGTGCAATACCATTAAATTCACAGTTTTAGAATTCCTCGAAAATAACCACCTCAATCAAGCGCTACCTGAGAGTAAAATGTCAACTGAGAATGCAAACAATGTTTAAGAGATGGGGAGATAACTGAGACTCTCGCTTATGAATAATACAAGAGGCTGGGACCCACTCTCGTTAGAGACGAATCATTTACTTTGCTTGATAAACTGTCTATATTAGACTCTGGTTTGATGGTTCTTGGGCAAAAGTTCGCTACGTATCTCCTATGGTTTTAAAGTAAGGATTGTTAACGACCCAGTGTACTTTAATCATAATAGCAATACAGAACACTATTATTGTTTGTATAATCAAAATTATGAGTGTTTATAGATAAAAAGAACAATATTTTTTTTTTGAAAAAGGATACAAACTACCAATTCTAATACCAGTCTAAAAACATTTATTTTACATCCTGTTGTTAGTAAAATTAAATTTAGTTTTGTGAGAGGCAAGTTTGGGAAATTATCTGTTTATTCTAGAGCAAGATTTAACGGCCTACAGGGTTTTCCACCTTTTAACTCATGACGGTAATTTTATTTTATATCTTTAGACAAAAAAAACACATTTTGCAATTCCTCTTAAAAACTTAATGCACTGGATTGTTTTTAAATATTAGATTAAGAGATTAAATATTAGATTCTAGAGAAAGATTTTATGGCCTACAGGGTTGCCCAACTTTTAACTCATGACAGTAGTTTTATTTTATATCTTTAGACCAGCAAAAAGGTTAACTGCAAAATTTGCTTTGCTTGTGTTTACACTTTACTGTGACAAAGCACAGGAAAAGGTAGTCAGTAATACTGTAAATTAAAAAAACACATTTTGCAATTCCTCTTAAAAACTTAATGCACTGGATTGTTTTTAAATATTAGATTTATATTTTTTGCTACAAAATCGCATTAATGAATATTAACGTTTTTGTTAAAGTTGATTACATTTTTAATAGTTTGCCTCATTAGGATACTCTTAGGAGTTTTATGTTCCATACGACAACTTCAAAACACTTATTTACATCACAGGACCTTTCTTATAGTTCATAGTCTCTTCTTATTAAAGATTACCTTGTTCCGTTTTCTATTACAAATTCCTTAATACATTTCACACGATATACTAAACATAACAAATCTTCAGTGCTTACTTCCTTACAGTACATTTTTTTATAAGCTATCTCAATCTATATAAATACTCATCATAACGTCCTGGATTCAAGTTATGTTCCATTCATCATACATTTTGCTTCACGAGGTGACAACACAGTTCATGTACAATTTATATCATAAAATATTAAATTAATTTTTCTTTAATCTTAAAGCTAGCAACGTTTTCTTTAATTATTTTTGATCAAAGTATGAAAAAGAAACAATTGTTTTAAAGTTCATTGTAATAGGGTAAAATAACTCTCTCCCTTCTAGCACGATTGAGTAAATTTAAAGCAAAATACAGTAGTTTGATTTTACTTCTGAGATTCATTATATGTGCTTTTTGAGCGCAAACCAACCCGTAAAAAACATAAACGTATTTTTCTCTTAAGGAGCACTTTATTTGCATCAGAGCGCTCCCTCCACCAAAACCATGTTCAAAAACATCTTCAATGAAAACAAAAGAAAAGCTACATGACGTGTACGCCAAGAAATGTCCACAGCACTTTCTCCTCCGGCGTCACAGGGACTAGAAGCCAGTGAGGGGCCAATTAATGGGTACAGGTTGTGCGGACGTATCAGAGCATGACCTTGAACTAGCCAGCCATGACCTTGAAGCAGCCTCAGAAACACCACCTCACAGACAGGCATGTGCTGCATATGGGTACGTACAGATTAGTGACTCTTGTATAGGTTTGGGAGTTTTTATTCTTCCTTGATACGCATTTTTAGACAGTAATGACTTTGTCTCCTAGTTTTTGTGAGTCTTAAGTTAACTTACTAAACTCTGATGTTAGATTCCTGTATTCGTTGCTGTACTGTGTGTTGTTATGAACATTTAATTTTACTTCCAAATTGCATAGATGAAAATAGGGTCTATTCAAGAAGAGGATCGCCACTCCTTTCCAGTGCGCTGCTATGTTTTTGTTTAAATTGATTAGAGTTTGTTGATTTTGATAATTGAAAAACAATTACCTTTATTTAAACTCAAAATAAAAGGAACAGGATTTCAAATTGACGAAATGTAGGTTCGTCTCTTTACCGCATAACACAAAATGTCAACTTTTGTTTTTGTTAACATCGCAAACTGATCTTGTTCCAACCTACCCGCGGGCGCCACGCTGCAGAAAACAGAGTGACGTTCCTCTATTTGATAATACTTTAACGAGTACGATAATATTTATTCACTGTGACGCCTGATGATGCTTCAATAGTAGCGTGGTGTGGATTATCACTCTGAAGAACCGTGAGTACAGGTTTTTAAACTATACTGGACATCTAATGTACAGTCCAAAATAGAATGTGGATATAGATTCACGATACATTTAAAGATTTTCCATAATCGTTTGGTATATTTATTAATCATACATGTCTTATCAGACGTTAAACTTACAATACAAGTATGAGTTATTCGCCTCGAATTATTTCCAAATAATTCCAACATTATACATTTACATGTAAGTGGTTGGTGTAAGGTGGTTACATTTAAGTGTAATGTAATGTATTCGTTACTTCTATGTTGACATAGAAAGTTAATTGAACAATTTTACTGACTGAAACTCAACCGAGAATTCCATAATCAATTTCGTGGAAGAACTCTTCGGTGTTGATCCATAGAAAGTAATCTATAGCTATTTTTGTATTAAGAGCGCAAAGTACGCCATTGCCGCACGATAACTGTAGATCTGTAACTGTAGTTTATACATTTCGAAAGCGGCAATGGCTGTGCTCGGAGTACACACAAGATATTTCCTACCATAATAATTAACTTATCATAATATTATAAAGACTAACTTTTGAGTTGTACATAAAATGTCATTTAGTTTAGGATTTTTTTAGTTACGTTTTTTTTCTTAACGTTTGTTAACGTACCGGCTCCGCGGCTGTGGTTGGTGTAGAAACGCCAACTATGAAATCAGGAATGGTCATTACCACTCTAGAGCAAAAATAGCAATTTTGCGTTCTGTTTACAGATGTGACAATGTGATAATTTCCATGCAGTGGTACCTATTAAAAAAGCGATTTCCAAGTAATTATTCAATTAAATTTATTATTATGAAATCGGTGAGAACACCCAAAATATCGACAAGTTATATGCTCATAGTTCTCCAGTGATTCATTTGCATTCTAAGTCCGCTTGAGAAACGTGGTTTCCCAAATCAAGAGAGTTTGAGTTTTAAGTAGATTGTCTTTAAACAGGACGCGAACTCAAATCATGCCTCGCGTAGCCAACTCATGACTGAAGATTACTGAAGAACTTTGTGTAGTTCAAGTTTACGGACTGTACGATCATCGGATCATGTTTAAATTAAATTGACTTATACTAATAAGTTAAAATACACTCTCATAGTTTTGCCTCAACTTCAACAAGCATATTCGTTTCCCATCTATATGTTGAAAATATTTACAAAAACAAGACGTTATTTATAATACATATGATTTTGACGTATTAATTTTGGCTGCACATTTCGAGATTTGAACTCACACATTTTT